TGCTATTGTAACAAATGAGGCGTTGCAAAAGGGCTTCGCCTTCGAGAGTCAGGGGAGTTGGCTTCCTTTCTTCGCCGGAAGCTGGCGGAAGGCCCGTCGGAAGCTTCAAGACAGGCGGAAGGCGGCGGAAGTGAGCCGAGGGCGGCTCCGCCGGAGAGAAGCCGGCCGACGGCCGGCGGAAGCAGGCGGAATCCCCCCCCCTCGCAAGAGATGCCAAGGTTTTTTGCTTCTGGGCTTCCGGATCCCACCGCGTGGGTTTCAAAACCAAACAAAAAAAAACGTCGCGTGCTTGGCCAGGGGCAGCGCCCAGCCTGGGCCCAGGCGTGGTGCATGCTGGGGCAGCGTTGTGTGGGGGGGTAGGCTAGGCTTAGAGTCGGGCCTGTCCCTCCACAGGGAGAAATGATCAGAAATAGCAAAAAATAGTCAGGGGGCGATGTTTTGACCACTTGCTCCATTTTGGGGGGTAGTTTTGGGGTATTTTTTGAATTCTTTCGCCCGAAGTCCCCCTATAGGGGGACAGGCCCGACCTAAGGCTAGAGACCTCGCACCCATACTTCTCGCGCCTTCATCGCCTTGCCCTTCCCCATGCCCATCCTCCGCCCCAAAGGTTCGAACGCGCGATGTCCTTCCCGCAAGCATTGCGACAGATCACGAGGAGCGCCCTGGACCGCTCATGCCCCTGCCGCACCTCTCGAGCAAGCTCGGTCCGTGCCGGTCCCTGGGCCCGACACCGTGCGAAAACGCCCCCGGTGTGGAAAAGCTGCACATCGCCTGGATCTCTGGGGTCCTGGGGCTCAGACCCCTGATGTCATGCTTTTTTCATGACGTCGGCCCTCAGAGGTATCTCGACCCATTCCCCTGGACCGGTTCGTCATCCTGGGTCGATTTTGGACGGTCCCGAGGCCCGGTAAGGGCCCCCAGAGGCTGACAAAAACGGAAAAGCCTCCCGTCACGATTCTTTCATTGCCCGAGGGGGTCCGGGGGCCCAGAGTGGCCCCGTGGCCAGGCATGCTGGCCCCCTGCGGCGAGGAGAAGCGGCTGGCCTGGAAGTACCCGGGCTGCGACCACCTGGTGGACCAGGGCCACCGCCGCGTCGATTGGCCCTCGGTGCGGCTGCGGCTCGTGGAGACTCCGTACCCCTCCAGCATCAAGGCCTCGGCGGCGCGCCCGGGGGGGGCGAGGAAGACCGGGCGGGCCTTCCCCAGACCCCCTCGGGCAATGAAAAAATCATGACGGGAGGTTTTCGCTATTTTCGGCCTCGGGAGGCCCTTGCCGGGCCCCGGGACCGTCAACAAACGACTCAGGACGAAAAACCGGTCCCGGGGAATGGGTCGAGACCTCGGGGGTTTACGCAATGAAAAAATCATGACGTCGGGGGTCTGTGGGTCTCCGAAGGCTCGGAGGGCCTCCGGCCTTCTGACAAGCGGTCTATAAGCCTTCTCCCTGGTCGCAGAGGGCTTCTCAGAGGGCCGGAGGGCTTCTGGGAAGCCCCGGCGCCTTCTGAGAGGGCCTGTCCTCTCTCACATCCCCCCTCGCAGCGCCGCCGAAGGTCGTCTATGAGGTGCTCGAGAGCATGAGCGGGCTGAGCGCGGAGTACGACGAGGAAGCGCGACTCTGCATGATGGGCATTCCGGCGATCTTCTACATCCTCACCAGGTACTCGTTAGACAGCGCCTTCAGCGAGGAGGACCAGCAGTGGGATCCCGAGGGGTTGCGCAGGGCCATATTGCAGTACTCGGTGCTCGAGAATTACATCTCTTGCCTGGACCCAGGTCTCATCAACCGGGCAAACTGGTCCTTCACGAACGAAGAGGTCATGACCCTGAGGCGGCGGATACTTCGCGCTTATCGCCAACTCGAGACCAGTGGCCCTAGCCCCGCAGAGTATGCCGCCCCTCAGCGGCTGCGCGTGTACGTCTACGACGAGGACGAGGTTCCCGAGCTGACCCCTCTCGTGCAAAGCCAGATTTACTGCGGCAGGGGCCAGTGGGGCACTGACGTGCAAGTGCATGACTTCTTCCTCACATCGCCCTCCTATACTGACGACCCAGCGCAAGCTGATTTTTTTTTCGTTCCAGGGTATGCGATCTGCATGCTGGAGAGCAACATCCACACCTTGGATGAGATCGACGTGCTGTACACGCGGCTGATACAGGCGCTGCCTTACTTCAACGCTTCCGCCGGAAAGGATCACGTCTTCGTATTCGGGTCAGGGATGGCTCATAGCGTCTTCCAGTCGTGGCGGCAGCACATGGCCCAGGCAATCGTGCTGACGCCTGAGACCGAGTTGTTCAATGATTTTGCATGGATCACCGAACCACCGTTCCAGACGTGGAAGGACGTCGTCATACCAGGCAACCTGGACCTGGCCGAGGTGATCGGCCTCCTATCGGCCTCCAAGCCCCTTCAGGAACGGCGGCACCTGGCGACCTTCTACGGGAGGACGGATACGGCCACGCGCGGGCCGCACCCGTGGGTCGGCGGCGTAGACGTGCGCAAGGAGCTCGGGAAGATGCTGGACTTAGCCGGCGCAGGCGACCTGGACTTCGGGGGCGGCGCCACGCACGACATCATGCACGCGGCGCTCGGCGATGCGCGCTTCTGCTTCGTCCCCCGGGGCAAGTCGGGCTGGTCGCTCCGCTTCTTCGAGTCGGTGTTCGCCGGCTGCGTGCCAGTGATGATATCCGACCGGTGGGAGCTGCCGTTCGAGGATTTCATCGACGTCACGAAGTTTGTGATCAAGTGGCCCTCCACGCGGCTGGGGGCTCCCGGCGGGGGCGCAGAGCTGCTGGCCTACCTGCGGGCTCTGCCCGACGAGGTCGTGCAGCAGTACATGCACGAGGCCGCGAAGGTCCGCTGCTGGTACTTCTACCCCCCCAAGCGGCTCGACGTCAAGGTGAACCTGCAGCTGGAGGGGAAGAAAGCGGGGACCATGACCAAGACTGGACGCGGAAGCGTCGTGCGGGTCTTGGTCACCGTCGATCTCGGTCCGCGCCACCTCGTGGATGATTTTCGCGACTCGGCGACGGCTGACATAGACCATGACCACGATCGGCATCGACAAGATCCCGCGACCCCTTGGTCATGGCCCCCATTTTCCTTTCCTCCATGCAGCGGCAGCACGGGGTGTGCCCCGAGAGCTCCGGGCAGGACGCGTTCCAGGGCGTGCTGCGCGTCCTCCGCACGCGCGCGCGGAGGTCGCGGACGTCGTCCAGCTCCTTCTATTTCCGTGACCCCGCGGGCGGGGGGCGGCCCCGCCACGTCGACCGGCATCTCCAGCCGTGGCGCTGAAGAAAGCAGGCCGCGGCCCGGCGGGTCTGAGGCCAGGGATCTTGGCATCGCTCCTTACGTTGCGTCTTCGGGGAGCCTCTCCTGCCCCCCGGATTGGTGTCTTTTCTCATGCCCGGCGCGGGCTCGATGCTGACTCGACGCGGAGTTGGCGTGGATTCGACGAGGACTCGACACGGATTCGACACGGATTCGACACGGATCCGACGAGTCCGACATGGATTCGGCACGGATCCGACGCGGATAGGGCCGCCACGGGACAGACAAGGTCCCCCGAGGATACAGCATGATCGACTCTTCTTGGCGAGGGCCATCGGGGAGCATGCTGGATCATCTCGCGGACAAAGATGCACGCACGAAGTCGACAGGTGTACGGGGAATGCCGGGGAATGGGCGTCCGAGAGATGGCCAGGGATGGGTCGCCTCGGAGCGCTCAGGAGCGCTATTCTCGGAGCGCCCTCGGAGCGCTCCAGGGCGCCCACGGCGCGGGTCACGTCCTCCAGACCCTCGGGGCCTCACAGGGTACAAGGTTCTCCCTGGCCGACGCCCTCTCCACCCAGACATGATCGCGCCGCTAAAAAGTCAAAACGAGAGGCTTTTGGCCAATTTCGGCCTCGGGGGGCCCTCGCTGGGCCTCGGGACCGTCCACAGACGACTCGGGACGAAAAACCGGTCCCAGGGAAAGGGTCGGGACTTCAGGGACCCCGTAATTCGGGGACGGACAGAACCCCCAACAGTGACACGTCGATTAGTGAATTGTCCGTTTTCGGTTCCCGAGAGGGCGCCGCGGCCGTTATTTTCCAGGTTTGCGCCCGCCAGGTTTGGGCCTCAGGTCGTTTTCACTAAATCACGTTGTGCTAAAGGGGGGTCTGTCCATCCCCGAGTAATGAAAAAATCTGGACGTTGCATGTCTGGGCAATGTTGCCCTTCGTCTTCTGCGGGGCAGCCTCGCCGCCCATCTCGAGAGCCGAGGGCGCCCCCCGCGGCGGCTCCGCCCGAAGGCTCGGCCCGAGCCTCGCCTCCTCGGCCTCGCGTAGAGGGGGGCAGGGCGCCTCCTGCTCCTCCTCCTCCTCCTCCTCCTCCTCCTCCTCCTCCCCCTCCTCCTCCCCCTCCTCCCCCTCCCTCCTCCCCTCCTCCCCCTCCTCCCCCTCCTCCTCCCCCCTTCCTCCCCCTCCCCCCTCTTCCTTCTCCTCCTCCTCGTAGTCCCTCCTCCTTCTCCCCCTCCTCCTCTTCCCCCTCCTCCTCCTCCTCCTGCTCCTCCTCTTCCTCCTCGTAGTCTCTCCTCCGTACCCCCACCAGCCTATTCAGAAACCACGCCTATTAGAGCTGACAGGAAAAGGGACGAAGGGACATACATAGTGAAAGAACGCGGGCAACCGAAATGAACAAAGAGATATTTGGAGCAAATGGGTGGCCTTGGAGGGCCTCTTCGGGCCATCCCTGGGGCCTCCGTGGGGGCGAGCGAAGGAGGAAGAGAAGGAGGAGGAGGAGGAGGAGGAGGAGGAGGAGGAGGAGGAGGAGGAGAAGAAGAAGAAGAAGAAGGAGGAATAAGATGACGGCGACGAAGAGGAGGAAGATGAAAGGGAAGACGATGAGGGCATGGACGAGGACGAGGACCAGGAGGAGGAGGAGGAGGAGGAGGAGGAGGAGAAGGAGGAGGAGGACATAGAGGACGAGGACAGAGCCTTCAAACTCGCCTCTTGGAGCCCTCCTGGGGCTCCTTTGAGATGTCTAGGGGTCCTCTTGGAGGTTTTTCTGTGTTCTCGGGGCTTGAAGCTTCAAGATTCAGGGTGCGAGAGAGTAGCCTAGATCCGTTGGTAGGGTCGCTCGTCCTGGAGATGATGGGGGGGCTGGCCGACGTTCAGGGTGTTAGGCGCTCAGCCCAGAGTCCAAGAACATCGGAGAGTGGCGCCGCTGGGAAGACCGACGATTTCGCCCAGAGGCACTACCACCCCCTGAATGCATGCTCCAAGTGAGCCCAGAAGCGCAAAGTGCGAATCGCTGGCGGCCGGGGGGACCACTGCCAGTGGAAGTTTCTTGAGCAGTGCATGGGCGCACTGACGCTTCGCCTCTCCTCTTTGTCAGCTCCAGGAGTCGCCGATCTGTGGGGCATTCCACCATGGTTGGAGACATTGTTTCTATGTCCGACTGCCACGCTCCACGCTGGATGTAACCAAATTCGAGCTCGGGCAGAGGATGGGACCGAGCTTGAGCCCGGGCAGAGAACAACAATGCATCAAACCAGCATACGACTATGCTTACTACGTCGCGATGATAACGGGGCTATCAACAGAGGGGAGTCGGGTGAGGGAACGTCGACGCGCCAGACCACCTGGTGACTCCCCCCCCTTGGGGGGTCCAAATGCAATGCATGCTCCATCGCGCCGACCATAGGGCTCTGAAAAGAAACGCGTCCAGAAGCACAAACGGGCTTTTCTCTCGAGGCTCCACACACACACACACACACTTGACGCGAACGGGTCTGTGCAATACCCCTTAGCAGCTCCCCAGGGGGCGGTCCAAATGCAATGCCTGCTACATCGCGGTGATCGGAGGGCTCTGAACCGAGAAGCGTCTGGAAATGCAAACGGGCGTTTCGCTCGATGCATCCCCACGATCTGCACGCGAACGGGCCCATGCAATACCCCCTGGCGGCCCCGCCTTGGGTAGTCCAAGTGCCATGCCTGCTACACCGCGGCGCATCGCGGTGATCCTGAGTATGGTTGAGTCTTCGGATGTCCGCGCGGATGTCTTGCATGGCGCTGGAGACACCCCTGGCGGAGCCTCGGGCACAGCCCCTGCCGCGCTCCGCGCGCAGGGGAAGCGGGCCCAGCGCCGAGCAAAGAAATCTGCGCAGACCCCTCTGACAGTTTCTGCCTGCGTCGGTTTCTCCCCTCCCATCGACGGCTCCCCACCGAGCGCCAGCATCGAAGACATGGCCTGTCCCCGCCTGGCGTGTTCTGGGCTGTGCTGCTGCTGCTGCTGCTGCTCCTCCTCGGGGGCCCGCGCTGAAGGGCGTTGGGCGACACTCCAGGCGGGCCTCGAGATGCCTCGAGCACCGAGCACGGGGCCTGCCCACACGTTCTCCGCAGAGGCCACTGCGCATGCTCCAGACAGTTGCTGTTGCTGCCCGCTCGTCCAGACCTTCCTCCGGTGCTCCCTGGCCTCCTCGGGGGCCTCGGCTGGCGACCCTGGGGAACCCTCCTGGCCATTCGGGCTCCGGCCTGCTGGGAGTGTCTGGGCGGCACAGGTTTTCAGAAGTGCCGGGCGCTCTCGCAGGCTTGCGGTGTTTCCAGTCGGATGCGTCGGGAGGTCTTCCGCCAGGAGAGGTAGGAGGAGGAGGAGGAGGAGGTGGTCGTAGTGGTGGTGTAGGGCGAGGACGAAAATGTGGGGGAGGGAGGGTGGTGGTACATGAGGGGGGGAGGCGGAGAGTTATGGATCCCGGAACAGGCGAGAAGGCGGCGAATTCCATGGATACGTTCCCAACTCAGGGCAGTGCAGCGAGCTACTTATCTGGGCCTTAATAGCGCATGCCGTAAGTAGGTAGGCCAATAACCGCCGCCCAAAAGACCAGACGTCGAATCGTAGCCGCTTTGGCTCAAGGCTCAAACCATGTTGGTCCATTGTTGCTGCGCGGGAGTTCGCACAGCCGCATTCTCAACATACACGTGTTATATAATCGGCAAGTTGAGGGCCACAGGCATCTAGCAAGTCGCCCAGCGATGGACTATGTGATGATGGAACGCCGCTTCTCTGAGGAAGATCTTTTCCTTTTGTACGCCAGTCTACTCGCACTACAAGAAGTTGGGCAGGATTATGCTGCAGATTTCGCCAAACATCTCAGCACCACTGTAGTCAAAGGCGTTCTCATGCAACATGCAACAGTTTATCGGCGTCAACAGGACGGGCATCGTGAAGGGAGGGCTCGTCGCGACTCTTCAGAAGCTCGGGATGAAGGGCTTGGGCGGTGTGATTCCTGTTGCGACGGTGGTGGCAGGTGTAGCCAGCGCGGTGGCAGAGTCCTACCAGGATTGGGTTGACGCTGAGGATGTGGCCCGTGTTCTCGTCAACGCATCGCTACTTCCGTCCAGCTCGGAGTTGGATGAGATATTGCTCAATGCTGGGTGGAAGAAGACCAGGTTTTGCACCAGGGTGATGGAGGTTCGCACTGCAGCACGGCGTTATGTAAGAGGTCGCCAGTCTGCGTCGGCGGCAAAGGATCTTTGAGATCAAGCCATGTCGGCAGCTGCACAGTTGGGAAAGAACGCACCGACCTGGAGCATCAGAGACCTGCTCTGGACGGGCAAGAGTACTGTTGCATACCTAGGGAAAAAAGCACATGCGGCAGCTGACACGAGCATCAGTGACTTGCTCCAGATGGGCAAGCATTGGCGCAACACCAGCGAGGGGCCCAAGTCTGAAGGCCCTGGCGCATCTGGGCCTGGTTCCGAAAGGAGGCGGATTCTGCTAGATCTGCTGCGCGATTTGGAGGTACGCCCTCGTACTGACTCCGAGGCCGTGCATCTGCGCTCGAAGCTCTGACTCTGTGCGCTGATGGTGTCCCCCGTGCTCACACGTGACAAAACTCCCAAGACGTCGAGCCTGTCGCGCGACGCCGGGGGGGCCCTGGCGTCATTCGGCGTCGCGCAGTGGGGGGATGCATGGGGGGGGGGGCAGCGAGGGCTGCAGAACATGGGCCCTGTAGGGCCGAAGGCGCCCGAGCAGTACACCCCGAAAAGGGCCAAAAAGGGGCCCTGTAGTAGGCCCCCAAAGGGGCCCTTTCGGGTCCCAAAGGGGGCCTTTGAGGGCCCCTCAAGGGGCCCTTCAGGGCACCCTTCTCCCTCCCCTCCCCATTTATCGCCCCCCCCATGAATCGCTCCCCCCACTTATCGCCCCCCCCCCCCCGTCTTTGACACGACGCCCAGCACAAAGCTGACGCCCCCGGACACGTCGGGGCACGATCTGGCCGGACCCTCGAGGCTCGGGGTGTCGGACGACTGAGGGGGGGGGCCTCTAGGGGGCCTCTTGTGGGGGCCTCTTATGAGGGCCTCCGGGGGGCCTCCTGGGGGGCCTCCTGGGGGCCTCTTGGGGGACAGCTCGCGGTTTCGGAATTCACTTCAGAGGAGGGGAGGGGCTCTGGACGTCGGTTCGGGATCCCCCTCTCGGGGCCCTTCTGGGGGCCGTCTTGGGGGCCTCTTGGGCGAGGGGGGGGAGGGCTAGGGCAAGAGGAGCGCGCGGGTGCTGCAGCTGCTGCAGCTGCTGCATGCCGCTGTTTTTTCGGCCCGCCGCGGGGCGCGTTCCTCCACTGATGGGCAAACTTGTTCCACCACCACTGCCATAGGTAGGACGGGGGAGAAGTGCGGATTGGGGGGTCCTCCTCCTCCTCCTTCTCCTCCTGTCTATGGTAGTTGTGGTGGGAAATCGGCCCATCATACATTGGCTCGCAGGCGGTTTCCCACCCCCCCAGCCCCCGATTTGTTTGACGACAAGTGAAGCCGTTCAGAAAAGGAGGGAAACGCTGGGGTAAACCCCAAGGGAGCTATTCGGACGCGCCCTACGGAGGATGGAGGCCCCCCCCATCGTATGTCCCAGGATTGGGCTCCAAATTTCAAGTACATTCAATCGCCTGACGAAATCTGGGATACGGTCAACCCGCATAGTAAGGATGTGCAACCTTCCCAATGGTATCCTTGCATCCTTGCCTCCTCGGTCTATCCTTGGCCAGTTTCGATGGCCGCGTTGTGTTCGTGAAGCTTCGAAATGGCTCCCCAAGGCCCTTACATCCTTATCGCGCATCCTTGCTATACTGGTTGACTGTAGGGGTCGGCATATCCCCTGTTATTGGCATCTCTGGCGCCAAGATGCGCCGTGACGACCAGCTGCGTGAGTGTTGATTCCCTACCCCCGCTGTCCCAGCTGGCCCTCAGACAGCGAGAAGCGTTCCAAAACCGTGTGATCCCCTGCCCTGGAGCCTCTCCTCCGCTTCCGGCTCTGCGCTGTGCTTCCGCCGCCAACCCCCCGACTTGCGACGTCGTGAGTTCTGGTCCATGCGCGATGCCTGGACCCCTCGAGCCCTCCCAGAGAGTCCGGTCTCTCGGCTCGGCTCGTGTTCCGGTGGTCCCACATTCCCAAAACGGGCCTCGAGGGGCTGGAATCGACGGAGGCGCCCGTGCTGCGGGCGCATCAGGCCGCAAGGCGGCCTGTGAGCAGGTGCCCCGCTGACATGTCTGACGGTCGGGAGCTTTTTGGATAGCGTGTCCCTGCGCAGGTCCTAGCCTTCCACGCTGCGGCGCGGCACGCGATTCCACCTCGCGCGCCCTTGGCATCATCGCCTCGAGCCTTTCCGAGCCTCCCGCCCCGCGCAGCCCAGCGAGACAAGCCATCCGCTCGCTCGGCCCAGCGTGTCGTCAGGGCCGCCGCCGCGGCGCGCCGTCCGACAGTTCCCGACTGGGCCCCTCGACGGCCCCACGGACCCACGAGAGCCCTGGGGCACGGCTGGAGGCGCCGGGCTCCACGCCGGGTCTGCCCCCGAGACTTCTCGCTGCAGGCTCTGGCTCGGCGTGGGGGAATTGGTGCCACGCCTCGAGGAGGAGGAGGAGGAGGAGGAGGAGGAGGAGGAGGAGGAGGAGGAGGAGGAGGAGGGGAGGAGAGGGGGGGTATGGAGGGGCAGGGGAACGAGGAGGAGGAGGAGAAGAAGGAAGAAAAGAAGGACGAGGAGGAGGACCACTGTAAAACTTAGAATCATCAGCGATGTTGGAGTAAACCCTCCCTCCAAGCTCCCTCTTCATAGGCCCCTACAACGGTTCATTTCCATTGATGGAACTGCCTCTTTGGAAGACACCCGTTTGAAGACCCTGACGCATGCCAAAACATGGTTCTCGGGATTCCAACGCCACGGATCAACCTGACTGCTGCGTTTTGACGATCCTGAATCGTGCCAGAACTGCATTCCTAGGAGTTCAACACAGAGAATCAACGTAACTGTTGCAGCCGCATGTTCCTGAATCCGTTCAAAACACAAGTTCTGGTACGCTGATGAGGGGAATCCGATAAACTCTTGCAAACTGTTCAAACGAATGTGCGCGGCGCTTAGGCGAGGGACGCATTTTGAAAAGGACCCCCCTCGATCCGTGAAGCTTTTGCGAATGTTTGAAAACGCTTGTGCGGCGTGCTAAGGCGAGGGGCTCATTCTGAAAACGTCCCGCCCTAAGTCCGCGAAGTTCTTGCAATTTAAATGGGAGAGAAAAAGAAATATAAAAAAAACAAAAAAACGGATGTGCGCGGCGCGAAGGCGAGACACATTTTGAAAACGACCTGCCTTCAACCCGTGCAACTCTTACAATTTATAATGACTCTGCGCCGCGCTGAGGCAGAGATACATGGTGGAAACCACCCGCCCTGAATCCGTGAAACCCTTGCAATGTTAAATAACGAATGTGCGCCGCGCTTACGCGACAGCCACATTTTGAAAACGACCCGCCCTCAGTATTCGAAACCCTTGCTTTCTTTTTTAACGAATGCGCGCCGCGCTTAGGCGAGAGCCACATTTTGAAAACCACCCGCCCTCCATGTCCTATCTCGCTCAAGTGCTATCTCGCTCAAGTAGCCATTTTGGCTCAAATGCTATCTCGCTCAAGTGCTATCTCGCTCAAGTGCTATCTCGCTCTTACACCACATCTTACACCATCCTACCCTGTACTTACATCTCTTCTCGCCATCAGTAACAGCCGCTGTACTGTCTTGAGCGACGCCGGCACAAACAGCATCCAAGCGTTCAGGGTCTGGGACATCCACGGGGCTCACTCCGGAGAGGAAGTCCAGGGCCATCAAAGACGTGATCGACGTGGACTCCGAGGGGGAAGAGTTGGCGTGTGTTGATGATGCGAACAGTTCGATCGTGGAGGAGGGGAGCAAGGGGAGTAAGGGAAGCAAGGGGAGTGAGGACGAGAAGGTGCCAGGGTGGGCTGTCTCCCAGGACCGGGTGCTTAACCAGCTCGTCGGTTTGGCGGAAGGCCTGCAGACGAACCTCAAGGAAATGAAGGCAGACTTTCATGAGGTCCGGGACGAGCTCGCACAAGTAAGGATGCAGGCAGGACTGGCGCATGCGGGGGCGGAGGAAACCATGGAGAAAGTGACCATGGTGGAGGATCAGATGAACGAGATGAGCGGAAACATGCTAACCCGGATTGATGTTGAGACGATCGTCGCAGACACAACGAAGGGGATCCCAGGTAAGCAGTCGAACGTGGACTCGGCCAACGTGGAGGATACGGACAAGTTCACACGCACCGCTGTCATTGGAGGTTTCCCTCAAAATTCCGAAACATCCCTGGTGACTGACTTCATCAAAGACTCGATGCTGACCAACGTGGAGGGTGTCGAGGAGATCTACGCCTACAGCTTCGGCAGCGTCGGCTTCATAAGGTTCCAGGCGCCGAAATTATCATACGATTTTGTTCGCAAATTCAACAGCAAACCCAAGCCAGAGTTTGAGGGGAAGGCTTTGTGGGCATCTTCTTCAAAAAGCCGTGAAAAGCGGATCCGCGGAAAGACACTCGGGAAATACAAGAAAATGGTGATTGAGCTAGGCAGCATGGCTCCTGAGAAAGTTCGGGTCGACTACCGGCGAGGGGTACTTCTCGCAGGTCGCATTCGAGTCGGCGACGGCGATGTAGAGTTGCACGAAGGGAAGTTTGCCGAAGCCGGTATCGGGACGGACGCGAAGACGCTGAAGGATGCCGTCGCGGATGCGATGAAGCTTTAGGACGCAGCATTCCTTCCAGGGAGAGCGAGGAGTGCCCGGGGGAGTACACCATCACCAGAAAGCGAGAACAGTTCGGAGGCAAAGTATTCCGCAAGTTCCACCGTTTATGAGTACAACGTGCAATCGTTGATGAATTTTGATGATCGTGTTGAGCGTTGCTTGGAAGAGTTGGGTAATCAACACTGGGACGTATTAGTATTTGCGGAGACATGGCGTGAGCAGAAAGTGGAATCGTGGGACACGAAAAGCGGACACAGATGGTTCGGCAGCGGCGGCACCAGACGCTCACGAGGAGTGGGTTTTCTACTTCATCAGCGTTGGGTTCATGAGAGTTTCAAGCCTTTGTTTGACAGGGCGGCAACGCTAGACATAAATATAAACAGCTTCGGTGTAATCAGGGTTGCTGCGGTCTATGTGCTGCGCGCTGAACAAGAAGAGGAACTTGTTGAAACACTCTACTGTGAAGTGGCGAGTCTTTATCATGACGCTCAGATGCGAGGCTAGCAGTCTTTAATCGCAGGGGTTTCAATGCAGAGATTGGCCCTCGTTCTGAACACGATGATCCTCGTCTCATGGGCGGCAATCCGATGCCGGTCCGGAACGAAAGGGGGGATCTGCTTTCACAGTGGAGTTTGATGCACGACATGGTTATTGTAAACTCGTTTTTTCGCAGCGGCCTCCGAAGAGGCGTGGGCCTTCCGGAGCGCAGATCGCCAGTCTCAATTCGATTACGTACTAGTTGACATCAGTTTGAGAAAAAAAAATCATTCGGCAGTGCATTGTGGACGGAAGCGTCGATGTTGGCTCTGATCATAGACCAGCGCGCCTTGATCTGCGCGTCGCCGTGGATAGGCGGCCCAAGCTAAAGAAACGGAGGTGCGACAAGTGGGTGCCTGGACAATCGCGCACCCAAGAGCTCGACTCTATGCTCTGGGAAACTCGGTGGGGCGCGCTCTCAGCAGCAGAGAAGATGGACGAGATTAACCGGTGCATGAAAGAAGCGGCGGGCCGAGACAAGACAAGGTCGCGTTCGAAAACGAATCGCCCAGAGACGCTTGCATCGACCTTGGATGTCAAAATCCGCGCGCTCATTCACCTGCGGAGGCAGCTTCCTGCATCAGACCGGACGCCAGAGGAGAAGAAACGATTGCGCGTGGAGTGGGGGAAAGCCATCCAGAAGTTGATTCGTCGCAGGCTCAGCCAACAGCGCGTGGACGACATCGCAGAAATCCTCGGTGAATTCCGTGGTCTACATCGCGGGGAAGAGCAAAAAGACGCACATCGCGGAGGTGAGAAACAAGAGCGGGGACCTGGAGCACGACAGAGCATCTATAGCGGAAGTCTTCGCGCAGTTCTACGAGGATTTGCATTCTACTCCAAGACAAGGCAACAGGGCATCTTCCTACGAGATGCGCGGCGGAGACCGGCTGCCCGATTTCACGGAAGATGAGCTGAGAGACGCAATCCAGGAGATGCGGAATTGCAGGTCCGGCGACGACAAGGGGATCACAGCTGAGATGGTCAAGGTGGATTGCCCCTTCCTGCGCGAGCTAATCCCGGGCACCTTCAACGCAATATTGGATCCGAGCCAACGTCTGCCTTCTGACTGGATGGAGAGCCGCATCACAGTGCTGTTCAAAAAAGGGGACGCGTCTTTGCCATCAACTACAGACCGGTCGCCATCCTAGCCATCTTGCACAAGCTCTTCAGCAAGCTCTTGCGCGGCAGGCTACGCGGTACCATTTCAGAAGGCCAATCGGTCGACCAGGCGGCATATCGCAAAGGATTCAGCACAATAGATCATCTGCTGACCGTCACCATGCTTGCCGAGGCCAGCAACACGTACAATGCTGAACTGTGGATGGGGCTTGTAGACTTTGAAAAGGCTTTCGACACCGTCGAGCACGATACTTTGTGGAAGGCGCTGCGAGAACAGCGCGTGCCGGACGGGTACATCGATTTGTTGAAGAGGTTATACGCAAAGCAAGGGGCTTGAGCTTCAGCAGGAGAGAAGAGCCGCTTGTTCGACATTACGCGAGGGGTCAAGCAGGGAGACCTCATTAGTTCTTTTATTTTCATTGTGGTAATGGAGGCAATATTCAGAACCTTGAAGCGCAGGTGGGCGAGTTTGAACGCAAGAAGGAGTGGTCCGTATTATGGTATTGTGATTGATGACCCGTCCCAGCCCCTTAGTAACGTTCGCTTCGCCGACGACGTCCTGTTAGCGTGTACTTGCAAGAGAGATGTTTCGCGAATGGTCGTTGATTTAGAAACAGAGGCAAGAAAGCATGGCCTGAAGTTGCACATGGGGAAGACGGTTGTGCTCGCGAGCGCAGAAAAGCGGCCGCTGCACGTCCAATGCGGGGGACACGATGTTCGAGTATTACAACGCGGGGAAGCAGAGAAATATTTGGGAAGGAAACTGACGTTCGATGCATACCACGAGACGGAGCTGACTAACATAATCTCTGCTGGATGGGCTTCTTTCACAAAGTTGAAGTCAGTGCTCTGCGGCCGCCGGCTTCCTCCGGCAGATCGCATGCAGCTTTTCTGCGCCTGTGTCACGCCTGCGGTGCTCTACGCAGCGGGAACGTGGACGTTGAAGAGGGACCAGGAGAGAAAACTTCAGTCTGCACAGAGGAGAATGCTGCGGAGCATGGTGGGCACCCACCGGCGAGCGGACGAGGACTGGGTGGAGTGCATCCGGCGTGCCACTCACGTGTGCCTGGGCTTAGCTGAAAAATACCACGTTGAAGAGTGGACTGTGCTCTCACAGAAGTACAAGCGGGAGCTTGCCGCCAGGAGTGCTCTGTGCGAAGACGCCCGATGGAACGCGCGGCTCCTCGACTGGATTCCGCGGCATCGGTTCTTGCCCCGCCGTTCACAAGGCGGGCAGAAGAAGCGCTGGACTGAAGTCTGAAGCCGCCATTGCACATCATGTTGCAGAG